GGTGAAACTACAAATCCCATGATGCATCTCTCTCCGGGAGTCATGTCTGTGGCTGTGAGAATCTTGCAATGCCTCATGGGATTTGTAGTTCCACCCCACAGCTGGAGGGCCGGAGGTTTGGCTACCCCTGGTCTAGAGAGAAGACGAGACATCCCACCTCAGTTAACTCCATGTTGAGGGGATCCCCTAACACTGTCTCATCCTGCTGGGATGTCATGGGGGGGGGGGCTCTCTCGCCTTCTCGCCTAGTCCCAGCTCTTCTGAGGGGAGTGGAGGGATTATGGAGAGGCTGGATGGTGGCTCAGATCTATCGATAGACCAGGAGAGGAGATGAGACATCCCACCTCAGTTATCTCCACGTTGAGGGGATCCCCCACCACCGTCTCATCCTGCTGGGATAGTTTATATGTCATGGCGAGGGGGGGAGGAGCTCTTTGGCCTTCTCGCCTAGTCCCAGCTCTGCTGAAGGGTGAGGAGGGATCATGGAGAGGCTGGATGGTGGCTTTAGTCATCTATGGATAGGCCTAGAGAGAACATCCCACCTCAGTTAACTCCACGTTGATTGGATCCCCCACCACCGTCTCGTCCTGCTGTCTGTATCCCGCGTATCGCATTAGTTGGCTGTTCCATATCCGGAAATCCGAGCTCCCATCTTTTCTCTGGGGGAAGACCGTGATGGCGGACCTGCGGGAGGAGACACAGCGAGGTCATTGAGGAGATCAGAAGTCCCATCAAACAGGCCAATAAATCTCCTTCTCTCCACAGAAGATACAAATGGGGACGAAGGTCCCTCGTTATTAGAGACCGGTCCACCATGGCCACAGCTGACACTGGAGCATGAAGAGGACATAGGAGTCACAACGTACGAAGGTCCTCGGGGGGCCGAGGTGGACGCCGTACCTGATGTTGCCCCTGTTGGTGGCGTACTTGATGTGGTTGCAGATGTAGGTGAACATCTCATGGGTGGTCCTGCAATCTCGGGCGTCAAACACCTAAAGTAGAACACAAACCTCCAGGTGAATGGAGAGACACGATTGGCTGATGGCAGGAGAAGTCAGGCCAGATTTAGTCCACCGAGGTCCCCCC